GATGTAGAGAGTCTTAATAGAAATAGAAAAGTGATCGAATTAAATTTAAAAAGATATAATTCTCAGAAAGTTGTGTCTGCTCATTAACACAACTGATACTGGTATCTAATATTGCTTTGTTAATTTCAGCGAATTCCAAAATATCCATCCTAGGACCCTTTGTACAGTGATGAGTTAATTCTTACATAACCTTTCCCATGGAATAAAAGTTATAAGATTTTAAATTTTAAAACATTTATTTTTTCTTTAAATTCGTGTTTAAAACTTTATAGTTTCTTTAGTGAGTCGTAGAAAAAATTTAATTTGCAACTAGAGTTGATTTTCCGTGGATTGTCCTTCACCCAAACTTTTATTTTTTTCGTTTTACTTTTTACATCTGTACTCTAATTCCGTCCCTGTTTAAAACCATTTGAAATTTTTATCACTGTCGACCGTACCGGGTATTGGTGACTTGTAATCTCATTTTTAACTTTCGGCCTTTGTGTTCGTATTTTTCACTTAGCTGATCCAAATGTATGTTATACTCGATAAATTGGGGCTTTTATAAGGCATAACAAAACTCTTGACAGACCAATTTAATCGAAACTGTCCCTTTTCTTGGAAATCTGTCGGGCCTTTTTCATTTTTCCGGATTTGATAACTTGAAAGAATGTCGGATTTCGCGGAATTTTTAAATTAAACCACAAAATACTTTAAAGGTGAGCATTCACGGAACTAATAAACAGACGACATGAAAAAATGTAATTCACTGTTCACAATTCGAAAAAACAATACACCTACTAACTATTTAGTGACCACGAAACTTCGTTGCCTGATTTTAACCTTACTATCCAAAATAATTTTGTCACAAAACAAGAAAATAAAATATAGTCACCTGGGATGTGATAAAAACATACTACGCTATAAAGGTAAGTTATAGTTATGTCGTAATATTAAAATAAATCGTATTAAAAATCAGAATCATAAAATATACCTTTGATCAACAACATCCGACGAAAAATTAAATACGAACATTCTTAAAAATTCATCTAATCAAGAAACAAACCCTACATCACCCATAGCAACGACTTTCAAAATTTTAGAATAAAACCAACAAAAGGCAGTTGACGATGTCAATTCATTGTCTTTAATATCAGAATCATTCAATCTCAAGGATATTGTCGATGATACCACAACCGTCACAACTGCTGATACTCAACAGAAAAACGATTGTTTCTTTCTGAAATCTCCAAAATAAACTTACAAACAAAAAAGTAAAAACACACCAATCAAAGAAACACCTTCTAAAATTAATTTTGTGCATCTGATGTTACTAAGAAACTATTTGAAGGCGAAACTCAAATCTTAACGTTCAATGAACTTGTAGATTTCTATAAGAACAAACCACCATTACGAGAATTCACGAGTAGAAAGCATAAGTACACGAATTAGGAGGAACATTATTAAACAACCTAAAATTAATCCAATAGCTATAGCTCAAGTACCTACTCGAAGATGATTTGGATACCTCTATATCATCACAGGAAACATATTAGCTATTTTCCGTTTAATACTCCTATGGAATATGACCGGGTCCCGCTTCTGTTTTGAACTATTTGAAATCTTAATATCACAAGTCGCCCCTGTCATTATTTTCCTTTAAGAAACCAACTTTAATGACAAAAATCACATACCCTGTACGACAAACTAATAAATTGGGATTTATTTTCATATTTATTTGGAAGCGACCATTATTCATTCAATTAAAATATCTTTTCCATTCTCTAACAATACCAGACTACCAACAATTAGATAGAACCTTAAACACACCAAATGGGATCAGTTTATGGATGAAATATAATTGGAAATCCGCGTTTTAATAGGAATACCAATGACAAACATAAATTCATTTGTATCTATTCTAACAAAATTACACCCATCTGCCTTGATAGAATGACGAATGTCCAAAATCTCTAAGCCCTTATAAGTCGGCCTTTAGTAGATACAGACGAAACAAAACTACTGAACATTTATTTGAGTTTTCTAGAAAACCAGTAGAAAAGAATCATGGAAAAACATAGTTTCATCTGTTTCATCATCTTTTCTTTGTCAAAGTATAGGAAAAATATCAGGAAATAAATATACTAACAAAATACCGTATGTAGCACAAAACAACAAAATAGTAATCAGCCGAGAGAAGATAGCAGAAGTTTTTGCATAACATTACAAAACCAACTCCAGTAATTGTAACTACACCCAGAAATACGTAGAAATAAAAATCTTGAAGAAGAGGAACAATTAGATTGCACCGATGAATTAAACAATCCAATCAACTACATCTTGTCAAAAGAAAAGTTAAACGATGCTTCGACAAAATTTCTGCCCCTAGTCCCGATAAAATCTCTGCAATTTTCCTACACAAATTACCAGAAATTACTGTTTTTAATTTTGTGCAAGCACAAAATGTATTTCCTTCAAACTGGCGTGACGCCATAATAACTTCACTTTTAAAACCCGAGAAATCCATAACGACACCAGAATCATATAGACCGATCTCTCTAATGACCATTATGTGCAAAATCCTAGAAAAAATGGTAAATATAAGACTCATGTGGCACTTAGAGGAACACAAATTACTCCTCCCTGAACAAAAAGTTTCCACCAGAATAAACGTACGCTGGTAATTTAATAGATTTGGAAACCGAGATACACGAGGCGTTTACCAATAAGCAAAAATGCATGTTAGTGTTTATTGACATAACGAAAGCTTATGACACCATTTGGCGGTATGATAAAATTATAATACTCCATAAATGGGGCATAAGAGGAAACTTATTACATTTTGTGAATAATTTTTTTAAACCAAAATACTATTTTGTCATCAAGAAAACTTTAACCAATTGGAATTTTACAAGGATTATTAATAAGCACCACATTATTTCTAATTGCAGTATGATATTCTACACAATTGCTCGCCACTAGTTAAAGAAAGATGGCCTAGTACTTTTGCAGAAGGGAAATCTATATTTTCTGTTCAAAATCGTATCCATGATTTCCTGAATAAATTATAACGTTAGATAGAACCTACAGAAATAAAATTTTCCGAAACAAAGTTTTAATGTATACTGTTTTCCAAAAAGTATAAACTATTAACCCCACAACTGCGTCTTCATGATCTCACATTCGTTTCTTATGAATGATCTTTGATAAAAAAACTCACATGGGAAAAGCACATCTTGTACTTAAAAAAGACATGTCAAAGTGGACCTATTGAAAACAGTAGCTAACAATAATTGGGTAGCTGATTACACTAGTTTAATGAACCTATACAAATCATTAATTAGGTCAAAGATTGTTTATAGCTCTATAGTCTATTCTTCTGGGACAAAATGCATATTAAAATAACTCGATGCAATTCAAAACAGCGCCAGCACCTTGAGAATTATCACTAGTGCATTCCAATCAACACCAGCTAAAAGCCTGCATTTTATAACAGGAAATTTTAAGAAATTAGAAGAACTTAATTGCGTCTATATTACGAATGCGCGGTTTTGGATTGATTCTCAATTAACAGAAATAAAGATCCACCTTTTTATAAGAGATTACGTCAATATCGTAATCTTCTTAAAACTCCATCACCCTGGTTAGTGTCCTTACCTTTCATTAGCACGAGCTTGATTTGTTATAACAAATCGGAAAAGGGTCATTGTCAAAACAAACAATCTTTTCTGAAATTAACTAAACGTTTTAAAAAAAAAACTAACAAAAAGAAAGTTATCGTTATCCAATTGCACTTTTTATTAAGACTGAATTACATCACCTGTATGAAGATGAAATAAACCTGAAGATACTATACGTTCTTTCATATGTAGGAATTCAGGAAAATGAAGAAGCTGACCTCCACGCTAAAGAAGCTACAAGAAACGACGAAGCAACAATAGTGAGTAAAATAGTTGCGAGTGATATACAATCTAGTTTTAAAGGAAAATGTGATCGCTAGTGGCAACGTTAATGGGATAATTCCTAGTCAAAACTAAAATTAATAAAGCTGTCAGTGAAATCGTAGCTCCAACTGAATATAAATCGCGCAAACCAAGTGAAAATGACTCGATTATTCTTAGGTTACACATTGTTAATTCATTTCTAAATAAGATCGATCTGTGTGCGATATTTGCAACACACCCATTACTATTAAATATTTATTACTACATTCTCCGAAATTTGTTAATAAAAGATTCAACAATAACTTATCAATAAATTTATCATGTTATATTTAAAATATTCTTAAATATCTAAAATACATCCATATTTTTTATACATTTTAATTTCTGAGTCGCGAATAGTTCTATGTAGTTGATACGACAGTTTTTTTTTAAATAAAAAAAAATTACAATTAAATGTCAATACTTTATATCAAAGATAGGAATAGGAAATCTTTATTAAAATAACAATGTTTTTAAGACTTGATCTTAAAAGAAAATACATTTAAAAAATATTATTTAATATTTATATTCTGTTTTGGGACACCATTTATACATAAATATATGAAGATATTTGTATAATCGTTTTTAGTTTACCAAGTAGGTTCCGTCCCGTTTAGTGTTGTGCACATGCGCACCCTGTATATAGATTATATTAGATTTGTCATTATTTGCGACCTTTTCTGATCTACTGTGGGACCACCCTATACATAACTAATGTATATTAAAAAGATGCATTAAATTTGTCGTTCATTTCACGAAAATTATAGTTTCGAAATTAAAAAATTAATATTTATTATATACACCGCACGCCAATTATGTTAGTAGAATTCATTCTCAAACTTTAGTAATAAAGCAGTTTTATTATTATCTATGCACGATCGATCATTAAAACTTAATAGTCTTATACAGTGGTAACATTAATTTCGACACCATCTAGGTATACTACTTAAAATCCGAGACACGCTATGTATTAAGTATATATTAGGTATAAACCGTAACAATAAACATTGAAAATTGCATTAAAGCATCGCCACTTACCACATAAACGGCTCCCAGAGGCATTACCAAACACGCCACCATCAAATCGGCTACGGCTAAGGAAACTATCAGATAATTTGCGACGTTCTGTAAATTCCTTTCCAGTAGTATTGCAGCAATAACGAATACATTTCCTGTAATAGAAAAATGAAATGTAACTTACAAATTTTAATGTCTATTTTTACAAATACCGGCATTTTAAAATTAAAACAGAAAATATTTATAAATATTTTGTCTATTTGCTAACCGTACTCCATTTAAAAATACAAAACTGCATATACCAGTCAGAGTTGGGCAAAGTTCTCAGTGAAAGGGCTTGAAGAACTAAGCCCTAAGCCCTTTTTCAAAGTTCTTTCATCTTTAGCTTTATGCTGGGCAAGCAGAAAGCCTTCAAAGTGATTTGAATAGTACTTAAAGCACCTCAAAAGTACTTGAGGTGCCTTCAGGAGTACTTAAAGTGCTTCGAAAGGGCTTCTGGAAGAACTCACACCGCACCTCGTAGGTATATTCAGATCCCGTTGGCTCTGAGGTAAATCCCCAAAAAATGAAGAAAGGTAAAAGTGGTATTTATAAACCTGTAAGGATGGATTACACTTTTCCTAAAACATACTGGCCAATTAGTCTGACATCGTTTTCCATGAAAACGTTGGAAATAAGGAATGCGGTGATTACAACAACACCACTACACCCAAACCAACATGCATACACCCCAGGCAGATCTACTGACTCAGTACTTCATCTAGTTGCTGGCCGGATAGAAAGATCCCTGGACAATAAGGAGTCCGCTTTGGGTGTTTTCATAGACATAGAACGTGCTGTTGATAAAACCACATTCCCAAAGATAATATACTCACTAACCAACAGGAATGTTCCTTAAATGGTTAGTGGGAGGATACATAACATGCTCTTAAAGCGAGCAGTAAACATAAGTGTAGAAGATGTGAATATGAAAGGTTTGGTTGCGAGGAGATGTCCATCTGTACTGTGAAATATGGTCCTCGGCACCCTCATCAGCCGCCTCAATAATGATAGTCACTACACAAAAGCATATGCAGATGACTTGGTCATGGTGCAAGGACCCACCCTCCACAGGTTACAGATACAAATACAGATGTGTGTCTGTATCCACGATAATTTAAAAGTGGATAAAAAGAAACAGATATTTTAAACTTAAAATTTATTACTACAACTTGCGCCGATCTGACTAGAGTTTGAGCATAGTCAGAGCATCGGAAATATTTTATAGGGGTAATATTTCTACCTTAAAGTATATTTCTGTTATTCATGATTAGAGAAGAAAATTATTTGAATAAAAGTTATTTTTGTGATGCAATTCTCTATAAATTTTTCGATACACGATTTCTTTAAAATTCACTAAAAATAAATTTGAAAAATTGAACAATTTGAATTTTTTAGTATTTTGCTTGGCAATACACAATACATAGTATACTAGATGTTCAGGTAGGTATTCAGAAAAGTATATTTCATTGTTCGTTACTCGGATGCGGTCATTATGGATATTTTATATTATTTTAAATTATGACACCGTAGTTATTGATAAGTTGATAATGGAGAAAATTTAAAAATAGCAAAGCTTGTGAAATTATCTATAGAACAGAATACTGCCTAGAGCAGCGAGGCGTTTAAAAATATTAAATTATTTAAATACTGTTACGCAGCACCTTACAGTAGCCTGCGGCTATTATAGAAAACGTACAGATAGAAAAAGAAGTGGAATGTTGCTCATCGCCCTACAGTGTCGTCATAAGTAAAAGTATAAGTAAAAGAAGATAGAATACTCCAGAAATGTTATTACCCGACAAGAATATTCTAGATGACAGTTCGAGAAGGTTCGAAAAGGGTCAAGCAAGCTATATAAGGATGATCCTGACGTCAGTTTGTAGTTTTATGATAGACGTTATACGTTAATGTTTTCAGTTGCAAGTTATTGTTAAAGTCGAATTGAGTTATTGTAAAAGTTGAGTTGAAATAAATTGTGATACCAAAAACCTGCGTAACAATACTATAGATCATTTATCTATACTAGAATAAATTAATAAAAAATGTTTTAAAATATACGAAAAGTTTAGCCTGATACAAAATTGCATAAAACTATTAAAAATTTAATTTTATAAACGGCTTGTTTCAAATCTACTAATGAAAATATTGTTGCAGCAGAATTTCAATTTTAACCCAATTATTAAAATGAACATTTCACCGTTTTCTCTATTCCCTTTTGTATGTTAAAACCATTAACTGCAACATATTAGCATATTAACCAAAATTGCAAAGCAAACAGAACAACAATTGAGAACCTCGTAAGCGAGAGGGCTCATATTTGAATTAGCAATATTTCACAATTTCATAATACACCTAAATTCCCGTTTAATTTGTAATAATTCAACATAACAGCCACTCGATTCAAACGTGAGAGTGTTTTAAGAGAATATATGCGATTTTGTAACGGTAGCTTTTAATACACGAGTATGTATAACCCAGCGGTTCCCAAACTTTCGTATTTAATAATCAATAATACAATATCTGCCAATAAAACGAGAAGATTAGCCATTTGTTTTACAATATGAAAACAATTAAAAGATCAAAGGAACTTATCTGAAGTGAAGTTCGATCTCAATTATAAAAAACGCCTTGTTCGAGATGATCATATGTAGTACCGTCAAATAGCCCTTTGCGGACAACTTTGACCCGTGTGCCCACAAAACATTTATTCTAAAATGAATATTGCACAAACAATCATAATTGCGTAAGTGAGCATCTACCGGGTAGGTAGCGACTGTAGTACCATAATGCAATGGCATTTGTTGTTGATCGTGTTTCCGCCACAAGTGTGGTGGCCTTGAAACCAGCATGTAGATGATTCAGCGTTCGTTGCCATGTGGAAAATTTTGTCGCGATTGCAGACTTGGATATCTGTAGACTTGGTAAGTGAATTTATTATATTTTACGTTGATACTCAAGGGTGGTTTAACCGAGCTTCGTTTGAAGACTGGTACGAGTTTTATTTTCTGCCAGAAGTCAAACAAGAAGATGGTCCTGTTATTCTAATAGGTGACAACCTATCTTCACATATAAGCGCAATGGTTCTTCAGCTCTGTGAACAGTACGAAATCAGGTTCGCGAGTTTATCGCCAAATACTACTTACATCACTAAACCCTTAGACGTTGCCTTTTTCGCACCAATGACAAGAATTTGGCGAAGAATTTTGACCAGATGGCAAGAGTCGAAACCAGGTTCTTAGTTCTCGACTATACCCAAAGATTTATTTTCAACAGAACTAAAGGAATTGATGGAGAACTTAGAGGTAAACAAGGCGAAAATATGGAATATATTCTCTGAATGAGCAAGTGTTACTTTACCGCCTGACAGAAGTAGATAAAGACTTGGTAAGTACAGTCTTTTTAGAACAACTCGATGCAAAACGTTCCAAATATCTAGAAAATGACAAACCGAAACAAAGGAGGAAAAAATTACAGATCCCGTTGGAAAAAGCATAACTGCCGATGACCTGGTGACAATTGCAGACTGCTAAGCCCGCAAGGAAACAACGGCGAGTTTTTCTTTTAAGTTCTTCTGACAACTCGTCTGATGAACTTCAGTCAGAATCAGATAAATTAAGTGAAACATTTTCAGACCTAGTAGAAGTGTCCCAACCTGTTGTCTTAAACTTCGATCAAGACTCAAGGGCAAATCCAGAAATAAATCCTACAAGTATGACGATTGACGACTTCGTAGTAGTGATATTTAATAACAACAAATATCCTGGAAAGATTATTGCCGTTTCAGAAGAAGGACCTACAGTAGATTGCAGGGATAAACGATTAAGGTTTTGGAGATGGCTAGAAAAGAAAGATGCAATCCTTAACAACTGGGAAGACGTTACTATAAAAATTGATGAGCCCAAAATGGTTTCTACGAGAAAGGAATATAGAGTTAAAGAGCTTGATAATTTTGTTTCAGTGCTAAATATTATTTTGTGGTTATTTTTTGTAAATAAACTTATTAAAATTGCTTCCTGTCTAATATTTTAATTATTACCCACGTAACTCACAGCATAGGTACTTCCACAAGACTGGTTTTGCATGCAATTAATTCATTTTCGTTTAGTCCAACATTGACCCAAGCCTAAAACTATGCACGATAGCGTGGGTTTTGACACATGGGCTAAAGTTACCCCTTTTGAACGTAACTTTGGCCCACCTAGAAAAACATTTTTTTTTTATTATTTCCAAAAGTAAACAGTCAAATTGCACCATAAAATAGAAAGCTATAGTCATTCTGGCGTAAAACAAATAAGACATGTTTTTTGAATTGAATGTTTCTCGATAATTTGTTCAATAGTAAAAAAAGCAGTAAAAAGTAGAACAGTGTTACCCCATTTGACGGTACCCCCCTGTTTCCACCCTGCGGCCACGTTTAAATACCCTTAAAAGTATTTAGAAAGTTTCAAAATAACAACTGGTCATGCCAGTCCTTCCCGCCTTTCCGTCATTTTTTTATAGCGAAAATTGTGTTTGAATCTTGTAGAAATAATCTTGGGTATAGGTGTGTGGATGGGTTCGATCATCTCGAACAAGGCGTTTCATATAAATACAGGTAAGTTCGTATGATCTTTCAATTATATTCCACGCCTTGTTCCCAGTATTCATAGGTAGATATTTAAGGAAAAGATAAAACACAAGTACCGAGAAAATTTTTATTTTAAACACAACGACTAGAACATTATTCGAACTGTTTTGGTCTATGCCAAGTACCGTAAAACGGGGTTACTTTGGCACTTCGGCCTTCTTTGGCAGTTTGATCATATATATCGCTTACTGGGTGCAATAGTGGCACATCTCTAAAAATTGTCATTTTTAGTTAAGTGTACCATAATAATTTAAGTTAAATTGTATAATATACCACAGTTGTTTTTTAAATATTCTTTGATTATCCTTAATTTTCCGTATTATGGATACAATTAATTTTTACTTTCCTATTTGTAGATTCCATTAGAAATTGGAATGAGTTCTAATAAGAATAAAACTGCTTTAAGCAAAATCAAAGTTTATTCAGTGAATATTGATGTATTAGCTAAAGGATGTTTTTATGAAGAAAACGGACACTCGGCATTTT